TTTTCCCCAAGACGTAGACAAGCAAATATTGATATAGACCGGAGATGCAGTTTAAAGACTACGTCAGTGAGAACTCAAATGTCTAGTCGCATTCATGCTGTAACAGCATGTATTTTCCATATTTATTTCGAGGTAAAATTTTCATATAGGCCTACAGTGAACTTTCGTTGAAATATCCTGACATTAACGATAGCAAAATCACAAAGTATTATCTTGTTCACAGTATGCCCAGCATTTAGGGGGCGATATTACTTTTTGGATAAATGCCACTATCGTTTTCTTTTTTTGGTTATCTATAGTTAAGATAGACTCGTCATAACACCCGTCCACCACCCTCCCTTCCCCGGGATTGTCTGCCATGATGCATGTCGTTTTTGCAATTTATCCAATTTACGTTAAGCAGTAGATCCATCGACACGAAAATCTTAATCTTCGGTTTTTGGAAGAAAGCCATTCGAGCAAATCATGGCAAGAAAGATGACTCGGTAATGTCCCTAGTACAGCGTGGGGGAGCCAAGCTGAGAGCGAGGGAAAAATAAAACTCAATCCCTGGGCAAGAGGTGCAGGCAGGGTGACAGTGGGGGTGTCCCGGATGTATTATGATTTATTCTGATTGCCGATGATGCAGTCAATGATTCTATATTTTAAAGGCTAACACGCTGACCACGTGGAAAGTCCGAAGGAGTGTCATTACGTCTAATATAATTCTAAAGCCTATATCGCCATTATTTATGAAATGTACGGCTATATCACACGATTCAAATACTCACAGGAATGAAAAAGATATTACTCAACGTTAGTTTTCTGCACCAGGTGAAAGTGTATAAAAAACTGTGTAATCATGAATTTATTTCTACAATAACCATTCCGAGTAAATATGCGTCTTAAAACTAGTACTCTGGGTATAGTATCAGCAGAAGTACACACCAAAACATGATCTCAAAAGTTACACTTCGATACGTGAAGACACGTTCCATGACTTTCATCAAACACAGCGGAGGCTTCTGTGTTGGTAAAAACTCATTTCTATATTATGATCAACAGTAAATGCCTTCAGACTGTTTTGAAATCACTTCCAATGACTCTCTTTAAAGGAGTAATTTGCCAATAGTGGTAGCACAAAGAAATACATAATTTTCGCGAGGCAGGAGTTCTAATACTTTTTGGACCGCCCTGCAGCGCAGGAGGGCAGTCTAAAGTTATTCTAGGCGCTTGAGCAAAGTTGCCTTACTTTATACCCATGTGGGAAGAATTAGTGGTCATCCACTTTCGTAAAAAGCGTATTGAAAACAAGTGTAATGGACAAGAAGGTTAAGCCTACTTTAGCGAAATAGAAATTGCATCCCCAATGTTTTCCTGGAACATTGCAACACTGCCTTGGTATCCATGTGCAGTGTTTATCATAATGAAATTATTTTAAATCTCACACACTGCATGCTGATTATGGTTTTCACGCACTTAGTGTGTAACAATGAACACGTAATACAGTTTTCCATTTTTAGCTATTAATTGTGGTTGATGGCTGAATCAAATAGGCCTACTGGGTTATAAACTCTCCTAATGACGCTCGTTCTCTGCTTATGTTTTCTACCGAATTTCTACAGAAGTTTTCAGCTTCATACTGTTAATGTATGACTAAACTATATGCCGATCATGTCCATTATCTCGAAATAATGAAGGTGACAAAGCCACCTGCAAAGCTGAAGCATCTGCATGTCAAAATCGTCAGTTACTTATCGTCAAACTCGCGCTTGATGATGAAGTTCTGATAGACGGTTGGTGACAAATAGATCTGTGACATCAAGAGTGGAAAAAATCCTGCATAATTCTCATTTTCGAATACGATTAAGGTTTCGCTTAGTAGAAAGAATTACTAAAATGGGATAAAGTGCGCTCAAGCAAACTTGTCCTCTGAAGGTGAGATCTATATTCTTAAATGTTAATTTATAATACGTACATCTGCATCGGACACCAGGCACACTTCTTCCAGAATCTGAACGAGGTTTCCGAAGTTTGGGCGGTCGTTTGGTTCTTCCTGCCAGCACCTCAACATCAAGTTGTAGCTTGAACATAAAGAAAAGTACATAAAGGGCAGTTGTCAAAATATAACCTTTTAACTTGAATCAGAAATTACAATGCATGCATGGCCAAAAAGGAAATCAAATTCATTCAGAAAAAGGGTCTTGCAAACCATGTTCTTGTTACTCCAGGTTATTGCTATGCTAATAATTCGGACACTCTTCACGCAAGGCCGAGAATCCGTGGTAAACGCACTGCCCTTGTTGGAAATTTTGAACAATCGTATACACCATTTCAATGACTATCATCAATATTATAGACTTGAGTAAGTTTTAACGGGAAGGGAAAATCCTTCCTCCTCCTCACAGTTCATCAGCGCAGTTTTCCGGCTTAGGCATGCGGTAACCATCCAACAGTCTCTTGGCCAATGACTTGCTCTCAATGCCTGGGTACGGAGTAGATCCTTGATAGAGACGTAAAAATAAATTTGATACCTGCATGCCAAACCTTGACCGATAAAATATAACGGATAAAACAATTTCAACATGAAGCACTTTTGTAAGACTATTTCTCAAGTGACATGCACCGCAGACACTGTAACACTAGTAACATAAAGAACAAAAAAGGTAAGTCAGACCAATGTTTCCTAAGAGAGATTGCAAGGGCATTAATCTTAACACTGCAGTTTTGCAGTGTGAGTCTAAACTGACGTATACAGTGCATATCAGTTATATTTTGACTTAGAAAATGTGGAACCTTTTTTCAACAACTTAGAACTCAACTGACATTTCTTGAAAATCCACTATGTACGTAACTGCAAACATTTCTCACTGATAAGCGTAAACGTTTGTTCTTGTATTTAAACACATACCGTAGGTTGCTATCTCCCAGAGTAATATTCCAAACGACCATCTGTACAGTCAAACACATGTAAACAAAATAAACAATGTAATGCGAATGGGTCAAGAAGTCAGAAAATTTTGTAAATTCGTAAAACGATCACAAAATAACATCCTCATGCTCGACGAGCAAAAGACCATCTTCGATTTTCCCTTTCAAATATTGCTTTAATTAGAACATACATTATTTCATTCCATACAAATATTTTTATTTATAATGCCAATTTAATGAAAATAACAGTTGTTTAGTATATTCTCATTCTTTCAAAATTTAAACATTTACAGTGCAAACTTACACATCACTTTTGGTCTTGTACACGCGGCGTGTCAAAGATTCGATGGCCAACCAGCGGACGGGAATTCTGGTCTGAATGAAGGAAACAAGAATTAAAAACTTTTCGATCTCTAGCCATATCAAATCATGCCGTTTTTAATCACAACAGAACTACTGATTTTTATAGAACATCCAAAGCTTAATCTGATGACTGTGTTTGAATGAAAGCTCGTGCGTTTCTTTAAAAAAATGGGAATCTGTGTTAAATAACTGTGCAACCGTGCTTTGTTCATTCTTTACCGAGGATTTCTGAACATAGACGTCTTCTCCTCTAGACAGGCCAAAGTCCGAAACTTTAGCAGTTAGATTCTCAGACAGAAGTATGTTTCTTGCAGCGAGGTCGCGGTGTATAATCTACAAAAAGATATATCAGATCCAGAATATTGTAAATACATGAAGACAAAACCATTCCTGACATTGATTTACAAGGCGTAATTCTTAACCAGAACTGTATGCATTAACTAAATGAACCAATTTCCATTCAACACACTGGATTTCTAACCTGAAGTAAAGATGAAGTGAAGCTTCATTTCATATTTAATATCAGTTCTTTTAGATTAGGCAGTGGGAATCAGTTTCGGAAAGTAGTCGACGGGTTTAACGGGCGTCATGTGGGGCAAGGAGGCGCTCCTCCATCCTCCCCACAACGAACAACATCAAACAGGAAAAAATGAAAAGTATATGAAAAAAAAAGCCTGAAGAAAAACAAATGAAAGGAAATCGATGAAATTTAGATATGGCTTGAAATAGCATAAACACTGTACGACGAGTGCGTCCCCGCCACCCCGGGAAAAGTGCTTCCCCCAACCGCAAAAAAACCTGGCGGCGCTCATAGTTAAGTGGCTTGTTGCCCTGCTCCATGTGTGTAACTTGCCCCGGTGTTAGACAGGTGTTCCATTCCTTTAGCAACGTCCAGACCAAAGTTCAGCAGGTTTTTTGAAGTCAAAGGTGACACGTCATCTTTAGAGTCGGCTGATCCTTGCTGATTTGGCCGAGTTTTTCTCAAGTAATCTCGTAGGTTGCCATTTGGTAGAAATTCAAGTGCCACGTACAGAATCCCTGCCCGAATAACAAGTTCGAAAGTTTACAGACATTGTAAAAATCGTGAATGGTTGTTGGTTCGTTGTCGTTGTTTATAATTCTTTATTTGGGCCCTGCCAAAACAATCAAGAGAAAGCCAACAAACAGGTAAATCACAAACGCTTTAAAGAAACAATCATTCGCTTAAAATGAAAATAAAGCACCTCTGAAGCTTATGAATTTAAAATTACGAATCCAGTGATACGATTAATGTGACTTTGAACGAATTTCCTTCTGTCTTTATGCACCTTCATGGAGACACGCGCCCAGAAGACAAACCACATTAGGGTGTGGTTTAATCCCCGTCATTGTCTGAAGCTCCGTCTTGAAATCATCCAAAACAGTTTCTGAGGCACTCTCTGGATGTAGGCAAAAAGATACATCCAATTGTAAGACAGGACTAAACATTCCAAATTCAATTGCCATTACCCAAATTTCCCAAACCTCTACTTTTTCGATCAATATTCCGAAAAAATCAACAAAACCGTGCAAGCATCACCACGTTAACTCTAATTATTTGCCAGTCATTTGTTCCAATTATTTCACAAGTCCTACCTTTAAGTGTTTTGATTGCTGCTTTAATGACATTGCCGTCCATCTTGACTCCCCCTGCACGCACCTCACCAAAGTTGCCTTTACCAAGAATCACATCTTCTACCACCAAATTCTCCCATCGTATTTCCATTTGAGCTGCCCAGCTGGGAAGAAGTCCGATGTCTTCGTAGACATCTACGTCGGGGTTCAATGTGTTGCTCTCACTTGATGAGCCTATGTTTCTGATTTTAGCTTTACTGGTTTCAGATAGAACCTTCTAAATAAACAGCAGAATAGAAGTAAAGCGTTCAGTTACATATTACTAGAAAATTAAACACCGTATCTAATTTAGCCAATGGAACATGGTGTTGTTTCACAGTTGGTTTAACAAATTAAGTAAGAAGTGTCGTCACGAAGGAAGCTACATGATAAAAAACACATACAATGAGTTCTCGTTATTGGGTCTTGCAAGAGGGGTTGGCCCGGGGAAAATGAAAAATGAAAATATACGGGGAAAAAAGACAAATAAACTGAAATAAAAGTACACACCGAAGATGAAATCAGTGAAGCTTAAACAGTTCCTGAAAAATCTCGGAATTGATCGCTTTCCGTCGTTCATCTTATTTTACATGCATATACACGCCCATGCATACTTCATTACTGATGACGTAGACTTGTATGAAAAATCAGACATGGCATGACATTGTTTGGTAATGGCTTACCAGTTCAGTAGTAGCGGGTGGCGGTGAGGGAGTTCGACGTTTCTTCCAATAGATGAATGCGGCAATACCAACGACAATGAAGAGGACAATTGCCAGTACGACAGCAGCAATAACCGGCCCCACACTGGAACTGGACTGTTCAACTGAAACAATAACAACCATTCAAAATTGCTGGGACCTACCTCATCGACGAAACGTCACAATTTGCATGTTGCAAATCTTACCTTTGACTGTCAGTGGCTCTGAATATACCACATTAGCCTCCTGAAAGTGTTAAAAACACAAAAAAAGTTTAACAGCATGAAACTAAAGTCACCGATTGTTTTATTTCTTGACAGAAATCCAAACGGGCAAATTATAGAATAAATGCACAATTTTAGGGTGGACAAGTAAAATTAATGAAATGACACAGGATTCCTGCATTCAATTTGTCACTTAGCGATCTATCCAATCAATGACATAATGAGAACAAGCCAAGGTTTCCATAGGTCCAAGTACGTACCGTCTCATTACCCCGGCTGACAGATCCAACACGAATGTTGTACACAGCGCCCCTCTGTAGCGGTGCGTTGTAGTAGCCGCCGTACAGTTTGGCGTCCCCCACAACAAATCTATCAGGCACGCCCCCCTTGAGGAGGTCAGCCGCAATGTAGTCATCTGGAGAATCCTCGAAGTGGCTGGGGATAAGAACGTCTCTCTTGGTCACTGACGAAGACCTAGTCTTCTTGACTCGGATAACGTAAGATCTGCATCAAAGATATCAGCCAATATGGTGGCTAAAATGCGAGACGAAAATTTTTACAATTTTGCACGTGCATTACCATCAAAAATCTTCATACTCACTCAGTGAAATCATCCCCGGATATAGCAAGAGTCAAACCAATAGTGACCGTAGTGTCTGTGGAATCGTCTGGGAATGATATAGGTTGCGGTGGAGCAGGAAGATCTACGGTTAAAATAAAGCGTGATTATCGAAAGATTTCGATGATGCAAACAATAACAAAGGCTGGCATTTCAAACAATAGTATTTCCGGTGCAGTATTTCCGGTGCAAGTTGTAACTAGTCAGAAATTAAGGCAGCATAGTTGATTATTTCCGCCTCTAACTTTACTATGATTGTAATTTGGCACACAGCTAACTTCTTCATTTTTATGTCTTCTGTAGTTTGACTCTTCAATAACATTTTTTAAAAGTTGCATAAGAGCAGGGCACAAAAAATGAGATTATCATTACTATCCCCTCACCGGATTTTGGTTTTGTAAAAATCTCCAAACTTGTACCAAATCCTATGAACAACTGGTTCTCCGCCGACACCTTGAAGTCATACTTTGTAGCAGGTTCCAGGTTCTCCTTTTGGTATGGCGCACTCACCACTTCATTTCTGATGTACTCATCAGATGGAGTAAAACTGGGTTGGTGAGACTTTTCCAGCGCTCTGTATTCAACCTGGTGGAGTGATGCAAAGTCCAATTACTTTTTGGAGGAGACCTTTAATATCAGCAAATAGAATCAACCTGGAGTCAAATCAGCTCGATTGATAAATATTAAAACCATGTGTATTGTACATATTTAACCATATTCTACCTCGAAAATTAAAATATTGGTGGACAAACAACAACCATTCGGCGACACGCAGTGTAAAACCTCGGTCACATCATTATAGTCACCTAGTTTGGTATATATATGGTGATAATGGTCAAATTTATATACATCTACAGAGTGCGCAGTTCAGGGACAATAAAACCATGTACAATGTATTTTCGGATTTGTCCATTAGGGCTAATTGGTGGTTCCCAGTCCAGGGTAATTGTCGAGTCGGTTCTGTCTGTCCAATGAAGTTCCTGGACAGGACCAGGCTCTGCAAAACAAAGCAAAAATAAAAGCTTCTTTTGGCAAAAGGTTTAAACTTAACACCAGTTTCCAGTAAATTGATAGTGGCTAACCCCAAACCCACAACCTCTAGAATATTCTGCTCATGACGGTCTCTCAAGTACTCCTCAAGTAATCCTATCTTTAACTCATCTTAATCAGGTTATCAAAGTTCAGCATGCTTGACACAAATTACATTTGTGTCATACCTCCAATTCTCGTTGTTGTAGTCACATCCAAACTCCAAGGTCCTACACCAACCGATGTCTCGGCCTGCACCTGCCAGAAGCAATTTGATTAATGTGAGCGTTTTCTACAACGTGTTAGATAATTCGTTTGATTTAAGATATGGGGTAAACTATAAATTTTAGATATGATGTTTAGTGATTGGAAGTTGTATCCTCTTCAGTTGTACGAAGGGGAATGCATTAAGTTATGTTTAAGGCATCGTTTTTGAGTTCCGCCTTGTGGACATCTTTGCAGTCTGGAAGATTCTGGAAGTATATTGCGCTGTATTGTAATACGAAAAACATTTTTGCAGGCCTCTGCAAGTAAAGGGCTCAGGGTTGATTGCTTCTTAAACTGAATACCTGAATTGTGTAAGTCACATTGGTTTCAAGACCTGGTATGCGATGCACTAATAGAACCACATCCTCATCAGTCTGGCTTCCTGTCTGGCCACTCTTCCAGTAACGAACGTTGTAATGAGTAATGATGCCCTGTGGAGGGTCGGGCTCTGACCATTTGACAGTGATTGAAACGTCATCCACGTTCTGAATAGCGACATTTACAGGAGCCGTTGGCACTGTTTAAAATGAAAAGCAAAACTCATCTAAATTAACATGTAACACCGAAGTAAAACCGATGGAAAACAAATCCAAAGGTTGAAATTACTCTTGAGGTCAAGTACATTTAGTTCTCAACACTAATTACCCGCTTCTAAAGTTTTTCCAGTTATGGTTTCGCTGTAAGGTCCAGCTCCAGCATTGGTTTTTGCAGCTACTTGAAACTTGTAATTTGTGAAAGGAATTAGTTGAGTTATCGTCACTGATTCAACTGCTGTGTCATCCAGGATGGTTGGACCCCTTCCACTCAGCTTGTATACGTAGCCAGTGATGATACCACCTCGGCTTCCACATGGTGGCGGGCTCCAAGAGAAACTCAATTGTCGCTTGTTCCGCACAAGGAGTGTAACGTTTGCGGGTGAGGCAGACGGTTCTGAATGCAAAGGAAAACAGGAAATGCAAATTACACGTTTTGTTGAAAATGATCCGGATTGAAAAACCTCCTTATTTACAGGCTTCATGGTTCACTTGCTCCGTTTTTTTACCTCTGGTACTTGTCGTAACATCTTTCTCTTCTGCTGATCCGTGATTTCCATCCACAAAGGCCTTGACTCGCATCCTGTACATCGAGTTAGCCATCAGATCAGATATTACCGTCACATTAGTTCCCGAGCACATGCAGTGCAGCAAGAAGATAATTGGGCTGATGGGTTGGCATCCTTCTTTGTTAAGCAATGCATACTCCACAGAGTAATTGGCACAATTCACTTCACGCCAGCTGAGTGTTACACTGACGGAATCGTAAGAAGTTATAATCACAGGTGAAACGGACGGATCTAAAAAAATAAACAAACAGGTGGTTTACGAATGGTCGATGTTAGGTCTTTTATTGACGCTCTTAAAATTACTTGGCTTCGCCGACTTCCGGTTTCAGAAGGTTCTGCATGGGCATACTTATGTCACAACATTCCAGGTACTTAGCGTTTACTGTACATTGATGGTGGTTCCATCAATTTTTTGTTTGATCATAATTTCATGTTACGTAGTAAACAGTTTTGGGTCGATGTCATGAACTCTTGGCAGAAATCCTCTTCGCACAGTGTGAAGTCTTTTGTTGTTACTTCTGCGTGAAATTTGATCTGACGTCCCACGTTCGCGTTCTTGTACACTTTTGTACCTCCTGTAAACGGGCCTCTGGATCATTAGCATGCTCTGTGATGAGGAAAATGTCTAATGCCTGCAAAACGTGCGGGGATTATTACCCGTTGAATTTTATGTTAGAGACTACTGAGTCATCTGCTGGTATACTTGTCATTGATATTTCATTGTGACAAAGACAACATGATCATGGAATTAGGAGGAATGCTTCGGTATACTTACTCGTTTCTAGTAACGTAGTCACTGATGTTGAAACATCGGGCCCTTGTGTACTAGTGTATTCTGGGCGAAGAGAAACTGTGTATGTTGAATGAGCCTCCAGACCAGTTATCACATGACTGGTAGTCTGATCATCAAGCAAGTCAGGGACTATCACTGGCTGCGGAGATTTGATTACTTCACATTGACCTCTGTTTGTCAATGTATACTCTAGTGAGTAGCCAGGGACACATGGATCTGGTAGCCAGGAGACACGCAGCTCATATGGATCGTTTGAAATTACGTCGAGCCCAAGAACGGCGTTGGTGGCTGCAATCAAGTAAAAAACCAACACGTTGTTTTCATGTGAAAGTTGAAGTGGCATCCTTATGGAAAGATGGAGTGTGTTCTACTTGTGGATAGTGTTCATCCCTCCCTCATTCATAATGACACATATCACAATTCTTCTTGCTCTTACCCATGGTGCCTTAGGTCTCTTGTAAAGTCCTCTTCCTCTCCCCATTATGGTACTGTTTAAATCACTGGCCATTGCACATTGGAAACAATTTCAGAACTTACCGGTATGTCTAAAAACTGCATCGTTCCCACGTATTAATTTACTTGGTAGATTTATATGTTTTTATTATTGTTGTAACAGTAAAAAAGACATCGCTACCGCGTGTGTGTATCGACAAATCTTTCTACAGTACAGGCAACTGATCAATGTCTTACTTGCACACTGGCAGTTTTCTCCGAAATATGGATCTACACAATCTGAAAATAAAAGCAAAGAGTACAGAATTTATTATTAGTAGATGATCTCTCCACATCTCTCTCTGCATTAAACATGTAGGGCCTAGATGGTGATGTACTCTCTTCCAAAGAACAAGCTGACTTAAACTGCATTTTAAAATTTCTATCACACAGCCCATGGGCAACATAATTCCCTTATATTTGTCAACACTGTTAAGTTAAGGATATTATTTGTCAGTTCCTAATTACAATGAGCTCCATACAACGCATTTCAAGTTTAACTCTTCAAGTTTAATAGCTTTTCAGGCTCCATGACAAGTAAAATCGTGGAGGTTTTTCTTACTTCCAGCACATTTTCCAGTATCCTCTTCGCAAAGGTCGCCTGATGCACAGTGACACGTCTGCTTGCAATCAGCTCCAAACATCCCACCATTACAACCTGATTAAAAAACCAAACATCATCCGTTTCTTCCATGATCACATTATTATAAAATACTGTATGACTTATTCAGGGCTATACATCCTTCGGCGAAAAAAACCGTTCTGTAGCATTTTACTTCACATAAGCATTCCATTTACAATATTTTTTACATTTATGAAAATCGTATCTTGAATTCTCTCTTTGCAAAAGAAGTCCGCATATTGGAATAACAGTGAAGCGTCACTTGTAGCACGAGGACTTTTGCCCGTTTTCGCAGCTGGCGAATCTACCAGTAAAAATGTATTCAACTGATCGGAGATCGCCGGTGCACTCTCTGGTTTTATTCGTTGCAGAGTGGACTGTTCCACTATAGACAATGCCTAGACTGGTTTACCTTGCATGCAGTCTATTCCAGTAAACCCAGCAGCACAGGAACACCCGTACGGATCAGGAAGACAAAACAAACGACCCTGGCAAGCATCGTTG